CGTCCGTCCGTCCGTCCGTCCGTCGCCGCCGCCGCCGCCGTTGTCCCCGAGACACCGTGAGTGCCGCCGTTACGACGACCGGCGCGCGCGCCAACACCGACGACTCCGACACGCGCGCGCCGCACCGACACGCAGTACCGCGACGCGCGCCGGAACGTCCGTCCGTTCGTCGCGTTCGAACGTTGACAACGCGGCCGCCGTCCAACCTCCCCCCAACACCCTCCGCGGAACGTCGCTCGTCGCACAGCACCTGCCGCGCGGACCGTCATCAACAATGGTAATTATATGATCGTCACGTGGGTACAAGATCTGTGTTCACGTTCGTCGTCCCGGCGTCGGCGGCGTGCCGAGACAAACCTTTTTTCCAAAGCCGATCGCAAAGTCTGGTCTACCCCCGCCCCGCCCCCGCCCGTGTCCAAGCTCAAAACTCATCGACGTTTCATCAATATCTCTCCGCCCGAACGTGTACGGCGATTATGTGATTTACACCCAACCGTTCCGCGTCCGTTCCCCGTATCCGTACCGTCCGTTCGGTTCCAGCGCTTCGGATTTACTAACCTAACCGTTCCGTGTCCGATCCGCATCCGTTGTCCGTGCCCGTTCAGTGCAGTTCGAACCTATCTTTTGACCAAACGCGCGTTTCACATACCGCGTTTCACTGTTGCTTCGGGCGCTTGAAAAAAATTATAATACGACCGGAAGTGCAGAATCGCTAGACGATCGCTAGCTGTACTTGCCGCCTCGCTGCCGATTCCGTACGAGAACGAACCGTTCCCGTAATTTTTTTCGTCGACATCGGTACACATGATTTAAGCGTGGATACTCGTGTTTTTGAAAAAACAACTTTTTAAACGTTTCAAACTTTAAAATTTTACAAATACGTCTCGCGAGTGCGTATGAAAACCGATCAGGCCGTCAGTCGTCGCCGACGGCTGTTCGCACGGTTCCGCATTTTCCATTTCCCCGTATCGGCGAAATCTCCAAAAACGTTGTCTCCGACAAATCTTAAAGCACGGACGCGGATAGCGCGGATACGGAACGGACCTGTGCAAACGTGCACATCACGTAACGAGTAAACAAACTTTAAGCGCCGGACACGGAACGGACGGTACGGACGCGGAACGGTTATGTGTAAGTAGACCTTTTTGTGATTCACACGTTACCCGTCCGACGGCCGTCCGCCCGTTTTTAACTCGACGCCTGGGCTTCGAGTTAATAACCTGGGCTTCGTTCGGACACCTGTGTTCGGCACGCCACTTTGGTCGGCGTCGTTCCGTTATGTCCTCGGTCCGGGCGAACCGCGTGCGCATCGTTTTACGAGACGCGAGTGGAAAAATTCGATCCGTTTTCGAATACAACCCGCACGTGCTGCGTTCGCCTGGCTGCGTCCGCACTGTTTACGCGCGACGCGCGTGTGCTCTCGTGTCCAAACGAACGAACGGCGAACGCGAGCAGCCGAATCGGTGGGCGGCTCGCGTTCGTCGTGCCACGTGATAATCACTCGGTGGTTCACGCCGTTCGAGCTCGGTTCGAAACGCGTTGCGGTGCGTGTCAAACGCGAAGGGATCGACGGGAACCCGTCTTCGCCCTGCAGTCGCACCGGTTCTCCGTCGGATATCGTGTACAGCGAACGGTCCGTCCAGCAGCTCAGGCGTTCCGCCCGGTGCAAGCCGACCGTTACAACATTGTGCACGCGAACACGCTGAACCCCCGGGGACCGATGGGTTCCCCGTTTTGTGTTTCGACTATTTCGATGGTTGTACTTCGTGTAACAACATTTCATTCGGTATTCGGAACCTATTAAAATTAAATTAACGATATGTGTGTCTACACTACCGTGTAACGCGGTACATAGCTTACGCTTATACGATTACGAGTACGGAATATAGCCGGAGGGTAAACTTATTTTTCTTCCCCCTTCTCCCGCGTACGTGTGTGAAGCCCTTATCGGTTATCGCGTTACGATTGCTTTACAGTGGGTCGCGACGCAAGTCACATAACAACGGTAAGTACGTAACTAGTAGCACTAACGTGCAAGGGCGTCCATCTTCAGAAATCTAAGGGGGGGGGGACATAGTGTTTTATAGTAAAATTTACCTTCATATTAAATTGTCATAGGTAAAGTTATATACATATATATATATATATATATATATATATATTGATATTATTTTATTAAGTACATGCATTGTTCTTAAACCTATAAAATTATTATTTATAAAACAGATATATAATATGAAATTTTATAAAAAATGATAATTAGTAAAATTTTAAAAATGTAATATAAACATGGTGCTTTATTATTTAAAAATAATTGATTTTAATAACTAAGACGATAGTTCCAAATTGCGTTTATTTTTGGAAAATTCACTAATAACATTGTCAACTGAATTCATATATTGAATTTACACGCGTAAATATAAAATTAGGACACAGCGTTTCCACTACATGATCCTAATATTTAAAGTACCAAGAAGCCAGGGAGGGACATGTCCCCCTCTTGCCCCGCCACCAATGGACGCCCATGCTAACGTGGTCACCTACAGATAAGTTGACACGTGAGGTTCAGTACGTCTATACACGCGTATGTGTACAATTATCAATACTGTTTTATAACGCGCGTTTTTATGTGAACTAAATGATTATTAATATTATAATTACGGCGTTATCTGGTCGTTCGACGCAACGGCGTTGACGGCGGTAGGGGAAAGACAACAACATTGAATGGCGCGTTGCGTAATCACGACGATCGGTAGAGGAAAAAATATTGATAAACAGTACGATCATTTACGATGATAATGATGATCAATCGTGTGCTCTCTGGCACTGTACTGCGGTCGGAACAGTAATTGTACGTTACGTCGCAGTGCGGTGGCTCGATGTTTGCGCGTCTCCTCTACTCATCTGTATACTACAACAATGCTGTACTACATCGTTGCGCGTAAAATGATTGATTTCGTTTGAGTTTGAATTGATTTTTTTTTCTTTCGCTCACCGTCCTTCGCCTCGACGTATACACACGCGTGCGGCACCACACGCATTGTTCACGCGCCAATTTCTATAATTTTGTAATTTATGGCATTAAACAAGTTACGATCGTACAGGCACAAGGTGTTAACGGAGAGTTTGGTGGACGACGTGGACTTTACAGTGAGTAACACCTATATTTCGTCTCGACCAACACATGCGTGGACATAATTGTTACGCTGTCCACGATGGTTTAATAATTAAAATCTGACGGAACCGAACCGGGGGACGTAAGTTTATAGCGGCACGTCCGAATTGCATGCCGAAAAAATAAACATAAATTGCAATGTCCGGATTGCATGCCGGAAAGTCATGCGTTTGACCGAACTTTTGGAAATCGCAATACGTTTGGGCAATTTAGCATTTAGCTTATTTTTAAAAAAATTTAATTTTTAATTTTTAAGCTATAGATATGTATACGTACGTATGTATAAACATTTAATGGTGTCCAATACCAGATAACGGTATTATTATATCGATAAGATATATAGAGTATTGACTATAGATATAGAGTAGTATAGACGATTAATTTTAAAATTGTATGATGTAATTTCTGAATTATTATTACCTATTATAGATAAGAAAGGTAGAACTAATGTCAAAATGAGAGGAAAAATGGATTGATAAAATACAGCATCCCGGGATATTAAAGATAAATAATAAAAAAAATTGTTAAAATCGAATCGGCATGGTTCATACATCTCTAAGACGTGGCATGCAGTTCCGACATTTTTTTTTTTTTTGGTATGCAATTTGCCGTTTATAATTAGTACTGCCGCTTATCGATAGATAATGTCTTCTAATTAGTACCCCGCTAGTTGAAAAACACTTCCGATTAACATTTACAATCTATTACAAAATATATAACATGGATACACGTTTTTGTTAAATACGAATAAGGAGTGAACGTCTAGTTCCGCTTTCCATAACAGATAAAATATTATAGATCATTGGATTTCAGACTAATTGGTTTTGAACTTGGTTTTAAAACCAACCCTGGCTAATACGTTTGGAAAAAGTTTTAGGAAACCCTTCGAAATGTATAGAACTAGAAATATATAAAGTCTAATTTTCTATCCTGTACACTATTTAATATTTGTATACACTCGTTTGTAACTACACCCCCTCCCCCTACTGCGCCACTACAGTTTCCATTTATGTTAATTAGTTTTGAGTAAAACGTCAAATTAAACTGTTCTCCTGCCGTTCTCCTAGATTAATTAACAATTATTGTCCTGATTAATGATTTTCTTAGCTAGTTATTCGTCAATCCGGCTACAATACTTACCTAGTAATACACCTGAGTGTCTTTTATATATATTTACATTTTTTTGATACTGGCTACATAATATATATTTTGTGTATATTTAAAACCGGCTTTTGTTGATTGAAGCCTTATTATGGTCGCTCATAACATTACAAGTTTACGGTAATCTGCTGGTAGGTACCTTAAATTTAAAATTAATGTTGAACTTTCACTGAAATATAATATAATATAGACACTTGTATGAAAGAAAATATTAGACATACTACGCTCTGTAACGTTTAAAATAGTTATTAGATACATACTTACGTAAGCCGTTCGTTATAAACGTATATAATGTTATACAGCTGACAACAGCCATAATATAATTTTAATAATAACGTTAAACATTACGTTTAACTGTCTCCTAATAAATATGTACGCTATACCAGTGTCAAACACAAAGTATAAAAGTTTAAAATATTGTTTAGAACATGTATCTGCTCTGTACATGGAGAATTAAATCCATGTTGTTCTTGCTCTGCATCAAAAGGGAAATTCCATAAAAAAAAAATATAAATAAAAAAGTACCATATTAGTTAATTTTAATGCTAAACACAATAGAAAAAATAACTAAACATAAATTTCAAGTAAAAAAAAAAAAAAAAACTTATTCAAATTCAAAAACTGGTTTTTATGTGTTATTGCATAACTGCATCCTTCTTATTTCATCATTCTATTTTAAAAAAATTTGCATTAACGTTACAAAATGAGTTACATACACAAATATTTAATACAACTATTTATTTTAATTGTAAACAAGATTTTAATGTATTCAAATACCAGTGATTTCATTTGAAATTTTTTATTTAACTTTTCAATATTTTACTAAAATAAATGTTAAAAATAAACCAGTCAGCATTAAAATTGTTCATTAAAATAATTCTGGATATTATCTAATGAATATTCGGTTTCGTACAATATATCTTGTCTATTTACTATATTATTAAAATTTATAGGATGTTTAGATGCAAAATAATTTTAAAATTAAAAAGATTTTTCGTGTACTGTTATTTACTGAATCGTTTTGGCAGTCCTCGTAGTTTTTTTTATAATTTGGAATGTCCATATTTTTTTTTTATCGATTATTTTAATAAGTTACACAATAATAATTTAAATATGATAATTTAAATGTCCAAACTACTTAGATCGATGAATGTATAAAATACAAGAATTATTATAAAATAATTACTGATTAATAAATTATAAAAAAATATAAGTTATAAGATCTCTCTAATAAAATCTCATATTTACAATAATACTTATTATCACGAACTAAAATATCTATTTCGTAATCGCATGTTTGTTATTAGGTTTTTATATCTAAATAATTGTATTAAGCATTCTATCTGATAACAGGATTATTTAAAAAATCAGGGTGAAACTTTTAGATAGGGTGATGTATTACCATCAAATGAGATACAAAAACTGATGAATGATATAAATTTTATTGACGCCATTATTGGGGTAATAGAGTATACATGTTATTAAAGAATATGATATGCAATAGTATTGAATTATAATACAAATTAATATTAATATATAACTGATAAAGCCGGTGATTTATTACTATGAGAAATGTATTAATTGAAAGTCGAATATAGATACCGAAGTTTGGATTCATTATCAAAATTGAAGTCAAAATTATCCAGGCTATTGAAGACCCGAACCCTTCGACTTTTAATTTCATTGAAACTATACTGTTGCATTTGAAAGCCATGGACTTCGAGTAGAATGTGAGAGCCAGCAATCCTATTGGTTCTAAGATTTCAATACATATAATAGTATTCTTCGCTCTTTCCTCAAGCTCATTCAATCCCTCACTCTCCCTTAATTCTCATCATCAAATCCTTAATTTATCGTATTAACCTTAATAATAAAATCGTCAATTTTTTTATGGGTTCTCAGTCATGTAGGTATAGCTGGCAATGAGCGGACTGATTTCCTGGCTGTTTCCACAAAATTCTCTTCACATCCTTCCATTTCTAAAATTCCTGCTTCTGATCTCCTTACTATCCATCGCAAACTCCTCCGCAATGCTTGGCAATCTACTTGGCAGTCCTTACCACATAACTTCGCCACTTGGCATAAACATATTGTCCCTATAATTCCTAAGTTTCCATGGTTCAGCAAAATTAACATTTCTAGGCGTCTGATCATAGGATTTACTCGCCTCCGTATTGGACACAGCCTCCTTCCCCATCATTCTTTCAACCATTTCCTTATTTCCTCTCCGTTCTACACTAATCCTCACGAGGATTCAATATGTGATTTTAATCACATTATATTTAACTGTCCTTCTCTTCTTCCTAGCAGACAGCTTCTTTTCTCATTCATATCTTCCCTTGGTTATATTACTCCCGACTCTAATCTTCTCCTTAACTCCCGCTTCATTCCTATCATTCATTCCATTATTAATTTCATCTATTCTTCTAGCATCCTTATTTAATTTAAATACGATTATTTTTAGCTAATTAGTGATAATCTTTATGTATAACTTATCTAATTGTATTACTGTAATGTGTATAAACTAAGGCAAAATAAATTTAAAAAAAAAAAAAAAAAAATATAATAGTACCCTTAACAATTTTTAAAATAAACGATACATCATTGAATTTACGTCTAGAAGAAGAGGAATAAATACCTAAGTTTTCTATTAGAGTAACTAAGTTTAAATATATAAGATAAATATCTTAGAAAACAAGATCGGATGTTATTTAAACCGTATTGGAAAGGATTCCATAATATAGTATCATACTCAATGTTAGAAGGCACCAGTAATTAGTGCTGCATTGGTCTTTTAAATTTGGAACCAATTTACCATTGCTCTCAAAAAACAATTTTGAGTGAAAGAGGTCGAATGGTTCAGTTTATTTTTCTAAAGATAGAGTAAATATTGTATTCACCCTATTAAAGCCGTTTGGCGTTAATTTTATAATAAAATAAAATAAATAAATAAATATTTCGAGTCACTGCAATTAATATTCATAGGATAACAACTAAATATTATTGCGGTTTAATGAAAATTCGTCTAAATAACTGATTCAAAAATTATTATTTTTAATATTATTTTAAATTTTAAGCATGTTATAAGTAAGTAAAAATTACAATTAATAAAACTTCACAACTCGCTTAAAAATTAAAATATCGAAAAAACTTTCAAACAAAACACAGATAATGCTTCTTCTCTTAATGTTTGATTATAGGTCAGTTTACTCTAACATTAATATTAACATCACTACATTTAAATTACTGAACAAAAATTTGCTATGCTGTACGCAAGCCTGACGAATACATATGGGTGTGGCGTCCTATTACGTATAAAATTGTATTTTTATGAAATTTTCACTACAAAAATATAAGGAATTTCCTTGATTTTTATAGTTATCACCAAACTTAATAAATTAATAAATATTTAAAGGCTCGTAAAAAATTTATTTTGGAATTAAGATAGATTTTTTTCAATTTATCGATTAAAGATATGAATAAGGAACTTTGTATTATATTTTCAAGACTTTTTGTCTTACTAAAATTATGCTATCGACATTTTTAAAGAAAAAAAGTTAAAAAAATATATGAAAATTATGCTTTTCTTCAAATAGCTTTAAAATATATATTTAAAAAAATACAATTCCTAGAAAAAAAATGATATAAGCATTCAGTAAAAACTTCAAGTCTCTGCGATTGTTATTTTTTTAGTTACGATGAAAACAAATATCTGATTTTATCGAAAACAGCTAGGTACGCCATAAATGTTGACGTATAACTTTGTGTCAATTTTTTGCAATTATTAAAAAAATGTTTGGAAATTCATAAAATTATACCGTTCGAGTTACCAACTAGACAACATTTCCTATCAGAAATCTCTATTATTGTGATTATTTATTATGATGATCGGAGAAATCCTACTAGTTGAAATCGTGTATACAGGCACAAAAAAACGTAATAATGGTAAAACCAATATATTTATTGTTTTACAATGAATATAAGAGAAAAAAAACTGGAAGTGCTTATTTCTATAAGTAATAATAATAAATGTAAGACTTCGTTATTATTGTTATGTTTTCTAGATTTATTAATTCAATAAAATTGTATTTAATTTTAGTTGTTAATAGATTATACCACTAGATAATATTAAACATTTAAAGTTTATTGAAATAATTTAATATACAAATTGTTTTGAGTATTTCGACAAAGAATGTTTTTAAGAGCACTTATAATAAATGAAAGCGACGAACTGTGTAAATAAAGCTCCACCTAGAATCGTATTCGAGTGTCAACTGCGGCAATTAATCAATGCTTTTAAATTTAAGCATATCTGCAGCCAACTGAATTACAAGCTTGAACTCCTGTATTAATTTATTATTTATAATATCAATTAAAAAAATCCATTATTTTCTATTATTTTAATTTCATATAAAAAGAGTAATTTATATTATATATATATATATATATATATATATACGTTATTTATATGAATACATTATTTAGTTAGCCTAATAATAATAATTATTGAGCGCATAATTATTATATTTTGTTTTAATCTATTTAGGCCATCAGCCTTAATAATACCGAAAATAAGTTTATCAGTGTTGGTCATTAGATATATAGCAAATATATTATAATAATTATTCATTCAATATTATTAGTAATTGGATAGGAACCTAATATGTTATCATAATAGTTTTTGATCCAAATGATCAAATACCCAAACTTGCATCAATATTTAACAATTAATAACGCTAACGCATTCAAATTATTTTAAGTACTCGATAACTATGATACTTAATAGGTAATGTCAATGAAAAAACGAACATATATAATTATATGTTACCAAATTTATAACTATTTAAGTAATTATTGATGAAGTAATGCATTTTAATCATATTAACTAATAAATGAACTAGTATCGCTAGTGAATTTGTAATGTCAGTTTGGGCAAAGTTTTAGTAACTATAAATATTTAGACACGGTCTACTACATGTTACGTTTTGTATAATATTATGGTTTTACCACTGTTATAAGTTTACGATTACATAAAATATTTGTGACTCACAAATTGTGAGTGTAATATATATGTGTGTGTATTTATATTATATACACACACAAATAACTATATAAATTCAAAGATAATTGAAAATAGTAACTATAGCTAAGTCAACTTTACTTGAATGATTTATTAAATTTATCAACTGTACAATATCCGTAAGAAATAATAAAAAAAATAATCCATCAATCTCTACGCGTTTCATTGTTAATGGATTACTTGTTTGTGTTCCAAGTCGTAAAATATGAGTTTAAAAATGTATCAATCTATCAATATCGTTATAAGTTTCTTAACTTTAGCATATATGCGCCGAAATAAAGGTGTACGGTAAATGTGAATCATTATACAAATTAAAAAAATAAACAGTCAACAGTCACACAAGTGTGTATGTATAAGTATATTTATAAAGCGTATAAATCATCGTTCTGTGAAAGGTGTATGCCTTTCATTTTTCCATAGGATGAGATAACGCAAATGATTGATTACCGAGTTTTGTTTTTGCCGAGTCAAATTTTCAATACACATAATTATATATAAATGTATATGGCAGGATCAAACGCCGAAAAAACAATCGATTAAATACGGTCAATTTTAGTTATCATGTTTTTATAATATTATAAAATAATACGAATACGAAGTATTTCTTAGAACTGTGGCCATTGTTACTACATAAATTATATATTAATTACATACCTTGACCACTTACATTTTTGTATTTTTTTTTCCACCCGAGAGAGTTGAGAGTACAACCATTTCACCACAAGGTTAATAATAATTTACAACTCGCGTGTTGATTCGTATTTGTTGTTCTGTAAATCGAAAACATGTCGTTAATTAGGCTTTCTTGAAGTACAACATCTGATAGGCCAATATTCGGAATCAAACGCAGTCGGCTGGTAAATCGTATAGGTAATATCAGAGATGCAAATCTAGAGAAGTAGAAAAAAATTGCCCCCCATAATTTGGTAGGTGGGCGGGAACTGATCGATAATCGATAGTTGATGTTCAAACATAATAATTAGCATACCTCAATGCACTTTATTACGTAATTATATATTATGTGAGCAAAGCAACCAATATTTTTTTCATAAGTGGATATCGAATACTTTGGTTCCCCCCCCCCCTATATCATTCCAACTAGTTTGTGCCACTGGATAATATGTTAATACAATCACCGATATATGTGTATCCCACCAATCCCTTCCTTTCCGATAACATACGAAGACCAGACCCCATTAATTATGTACACTACAGTACGCGATTATATAAAAAAAAAAAAACCATTGAAACAGTTTTCCCTCGTAATTATTTTCTTGAAAAGACTACGGATCAAGTTGATCCGATCAACGATATACATATCGTCTCTAACAGTTTTTATTTTTTATTTTTATCTTTCAACTCGTAGTCTAGAAGTACATCAGTACCTACGGAGTACCTTTTCAAGATTTTGGTCATCGGCGAGCTCGGCACCGGAAAAACTTCTATCATCAAACGTTATGTTCACCGGTTCTTCTCGCAACACTACCGCGCGACCATTGGAGTAGACTTCGCGTTGAAATCTATCGACTGGGATTCCAATACAGTTGTTCGGCTGCAACTATGGGACATAGCCGGTAAGTAATCGTCATATAATATAACTGGATTGGTATCGATATTCATTTGACGTTGGAATTTATCAATTCTATAATATGTAATAAATTCGTCCAATTAAATGTATAATAAAAAATTACAATACCTTGAAATGTCACGTGTTCATTTTTACGTAGTCAGATGAGTTTCAAAACAGGTTTTCGGTCTTGTTGCGAGTGAGAAAAAGAGTACAGTGGATCGAAAAACACGGACCGAGAAAGAAAGAATATATTTTTTATGCTAACCTTTAATATGAAACACGCGTGATAAACTTTTCTATAAAAATATAAAAATATTGGTGACCATTGATAATGTATCTAAACATACTTTGAAGTACGTCTCCGTTGTCTTCATCAGTCTGTCCGTTCGTGGGTTAGTTACCAATGTACAGTTGAATTAAGATAATAAGTTGTATTCATACTAGCCCGTATAAAAAAAAATATATGTATCCAATATATGTAGATTTTTGTATTAGCAAATATTAAAAAATGTATACCAAAATATAAAAAAGTTGTTTACAAATTGAGATATTTCATTTAATTTGGTTTCTTAGATTCTTCGCACAACCGTGAATAAGTTACAAAATTATTTTCAAATCGTGTACGGAATTTTAGTTTACTGTTCGAAATAAGTTTAGGAATCGAGAATTTGGCGCGCTGGCAATGTGAGTTTTTTTTAATTTGATAATGAAACAGCCTTTGTATTTTTATGACCTCGCGAGTTTAACATTACTGGATCTATTATATAGATACGACGAAATACGTGGAATAACTACATTTAAATTATGGTTTTTTTTTTCATCTATACTTGAGTGCAAAATTATACTCAAAAAAAAGTCGAGATTACGAAAACTATATTGTGATTATGTAAAGAAGTTGGGGGAAAAAATCTGTTTTCCTCGGGTAAACAGTTGTGCCGTTAAATTTCTTTTTCGTATAACATTCTATAACACAGTGGTCGCCAACCTTTTGGATCTCACGGACCACTAAATACATACTCTAAATTCTACGGACCATTTTTAACTAAAATAGTTTTTTACATAAATACCGTTAAATAAATCGATGAAGCATTTTTTTTCGGTCATATTTAATTTGTTATTTTTATTGTTTGCTACAAAGGATCTATTATCTACATAATACCATGTCTAGGGTCTTCTTTTTTTTGGGAAATAACGACAAAAAGATTCTGTAAGTAACGTCCAAATTTTTCTCCGGACCACCTAAATTTCCTCGCGGACCATCGATTGGCGACCGCTGCTATAAAGCATTTACGGGTATCTTTTTGTTTTGTTTTTTTCTAATTTCTAATTTCAGTTTGGCTTGTGTCCAAACTTTTAAGTTTTAATTATTATATTTTATCGTTACAAACCCCCTCCCCCCGCCGTTACATTTACGGACCCGTATAGGGAAACGCTGGACGCACGTTAACTGTTCGGCGGTACCTAGTGTTGGAGTGGTTCGACGAATTAAAATCGCGGTCAATGGTTGTTTACAGGCCAAGAAAGGTTCGGGAACATGACCCGGGTGTACTACAAAGACGCGCTAGGAGCGTTCATAGTTTTCGACGTAACGCGACCGGCCACGTTCGACGCGGTGGTCAAGTGGAAACAGGACTTGGACGCAAAGGTCTCGTTGGAGGACGGGACTCCGATACCGTGCGTTTTACTTGCGAACAAGGTAAGCGTAAAAATACTTAAACGATTCGCGATCAATGCAATGAATTATATGTACCGGTCCAGACGTGTGCCAGTCATTGCTCATGACTTGACGTTGCAACACCAGTGGCGTGCGCATGAATTTGGTATTGGGGGGGGGGGGGGGGGGCATAAATAAAAATGTATATTTGGGCTTTTATACTAAATTCATCAATTATTTGTTCTGTAGATAATGGAATGTCTCGATGTATGTTCATTAACGCGAATCCATTTAACCGTGACTGCCCCGTCGTATTTCTTAAATACGTTTTTAAACTTAGAAGAAAAAAAAAGCGTTTGGTGCACCTCTTTCGGTACGACTTCTTACAATGTCGTGTTTCGCAACCGGATTAGTGCACGAAACTCGTGTACATTTAAACTCCTTATCGAGTATTCCGGATGAGGAGCAGAAGAATACATTTTCTTGTATTCCCTGCGTAAAAGTGCTAATAAAGATCGCCCACCCTCTGCACTTACATTACTGATCTCCCGTATTACAAATAAAGTTATCAACACGATTTATGTTGCGAAAATCTTTTCGATCCAACTTCAAAGGAACCAGCTTCGATATCCTGTGAAAAAAAAAACCAAAAAAATCCTATTATACCTATATACTATCTTTCCACGATTCCCAATGAAGCCTTCTGATTCAAAAACTATCCTTAAATCATATTAAAGATGTATGAACACTGTACGCATACTGAACACTTCGCGTTCTCTTTCTGACAATACTATATTTTACTTATCAAACTTAGGCCTGCTTGCACGTGTACAGATTGTAAAACATAATTAAAGAACTAATTTCAAACAATAAAAACATTAAGTCTTTAAAAAAAAAAAAATAATAATAACAAACGTTTTGTTCTTGCAGTGCGATCAAACTAAAGAGGGTATGGTGAATAGCGTTGCCAAAATGGATGAATTTTGCAAAGAAAACATGTTCTCCGCATGGTACGAGACATCTGCTAAGGAAAACGTGAACATAGACGATGCTGCCAAAACACTCGTGTCACAGGTACCTGTACATAAACAATATTTTCGAAATACACTATTTTATACACGATTTTATTTTTATCTGGCGGTTTTTTTTTTAAATTTTCACAAACGCCGTTTACCTCGATTTGACATTCGTGCGTTTATTTAGCATATACATAATAATATACATTATATTTAATGATATGTAAGGATATACTTAACATCTTTAATTAATTATAGTGTTTGTTTCAATACTGTATAAATATGATAATTAGGTAATTACTAAATACAAAAAAAAAACCTATTATAAGATGTTCGCATTACCGTTAATAGTTATGCACGTACATCTATACAACACGAAACGGATAACCAAGGGAGCTATAAACATTTTTTTTTTTTTAATTTTAATATTATCGCTCGCTTTTTTTCAACAATTATTTTAATGAATTTTTTTTCGATAAACACACTTCTCTCTTCAAACTCATTCAAGCCGTCATTTAATAGGTACCCATACTATATCCGACCACAATAATAGCAATGCTCATTTCGTGCATGACGTATAATATTCCACACGGCGGTCGTGCTATGTGAATTACGTGACCAAATCCAATGAAAACCGAACTTTTAGTACTTTTTCTGTGTGATTTTTGAACCGATGAACTGCGCATTATGAATATTGTTTGTAATTTCGTAGTTTTTAAACGCCATGTCGGCCGAATATAGTTGGGAAACCTACCAGCTATAATATAAGTAGATATTTATTAGTCGATTTCCCCTCGATTTGATTGGGTTTTTTCTAATCAGAGTTTATGCAACCTTATAAAACATTTTTTTTCCCTAAAATTATTTTACATGTAATTATTATTTAGTTTCACTGATAACGATGAAAAATTGAAGTCATCAATAATATTTTATAATGTTGCATAACTGCAGTGCACACGTAACATTATGCGTTTATGAGATACAACTGTATTGCATGCGGTAATTTGTGTCCATAATACGAGTAGTAGACTCGTGTTTGAAGAGATACATTTATACAATTAAATGTAATGTATGTTTCTCTATTCGAATTTCCATTAACTTTTCTATAAACATGAAAATATTTTGATGAGTCGTATAAAAGCTAGAATTTAAACGAGAACTTAACAACTCGCATGCCTTGGTGATTAGAGTAATTAGCTCTGCTGATGCTCGAACCCATACTTCAGGTGGACACATTCGTGATCCAGCGCCGATGGGAGGTTTTACAGGGGCCGGGGCAGATTTTGTTACGGGCCATAGAATTTTTTTCGTTTAGCCAAAATATATTTCATTAGACGCTCTAGTACTCGCATGCCACATTTTTCTATTATATATAAATTATGTAAAAATAGATATTATACCTTATCATCAAAGCATCAATAATATATTATAATTTATTAATGTATTATTATCATACTATTTATATTACAATATAGGTACCTACTAAACATAACATTGAAGTTAGGGATTAAAATACCATGTACATTTTCACATGACAAGGGAATCTTGTTATTTAGTTTTAAAAACAATATGGTAGACTTACAAATTTTTAAATTCCATGTAAGGCGGGGTTCCTGGGCAGCTGCTCCTTCTGTCCTGCCCTACCGCCGGCGCTGCACTGATCTCCTTTATTTATATATACATCTAATAGATAATTAGCATCGAATCAACCATCTTATTGGTGGTTCAAAAAGCTAGACGCGATTTGTATTAATCATTTTCAAACAAGATTATAACCGGCGAGCAATTTACAAAAAAAAAAACATTTTTTAAAAAAATAATGACAATTTTACACAATATGCCCAAAATGCAAAAATTTCATATTAGATTAATACACACAAAGCTTTATTGCGTTTCGAAACCAGCCTTGGCTCATACCATATTGTTTGTTATACGCTATTACACGACACTGATTTCAGATTCTGAAGTACACTGCTCAATACAAACCGACGTACTTGAAATCGAAGGGCCAAGTGATACTGAACAGCGTGATGTCGTCCGAAGACAAGAAAAACAATTGCTCCTGTTGATGAAAAAAAAATCAGTGCCAATATTAGAGCCAGTTGACTGCTCGTTCGTTCATTATTATAAGTAGGTGGTGTACACATCACCCAGAAGCGAGAACAAATTTTTTTTATTGTTCTTTCTTTTTTTTTTTTCATTAGTCATAACACTACGTTTAACCTATGTGCCTTAAGATTTTGTACTAATTATACACCGTTATGTGTGCACTAACTGACACTAAGAAATTTCTCCCGGGAGAGTATAAAAAATATATTACATTATATTCATTAAAAAACATAATTCAATAAATGTTCAATTTTTTACGATGATCAAAAAGTTATAAATGTTCCAAAACATTGTTGTGGTTTGATAACTTTTTTTTTTCTATGTTAGATAATAGACGTACTCGCATTATACTGTAAATGTGATACATTTCTAATTGATTTATTTTTTCTTTGGTTTTAATAACCTTTTTCTCAACTTAGTACAATATGTGCCTTATTATAATTATTATAATCAAAATCATTGTCTATAAAAATATTTTCTGTACCCATATTTTGAGTATACCATTTTTTGTTAATATATTTATATATATATTATATTTTTATTTTACAATAATATATTTCAAAATTCTTTTAAAATATATAATATTTATATACATACATATATACAAAGGTACATGCATATGTATACATATATATATTTTATAAATACAACCCTGAAGCTTTTTATTATAACGATGGATGATCTTCAACAATACATTTAAAAAGTGTACATAAAAATTAATAATAATATTTAGAAAAATATGATACATGTATATAAATATTATTTACTATTCTTATGTATATAGTGTATTGTGTACATTCAGTATAAATAAAAAACTGTAAGCAATTCCATCAATAGAGGTATTAAAGTATAAAACCGTAAACTAATGGTCATCATTAGTCATTAATTTGTAAAGAAGTTATTTTAAATTAAAAAAAAAAAAAATTCATCTTTTTGACAAACTGTTTTAATGATTTTCTGTCTTTGTGTGTCATACATGAAACCTATAACTAAACTTAGAATCAAAGGCAAACAAATTTCCAGGCCAACATAGATCATTCGTGATTTAGTTTGAAACCAGAGTTAAAATCTACAATAAAATTACTCAAACTGATCAATATATTGATTTATTAATGCTTATAAGATTAAATTTTATGCGAAATAATATTTTAAAAACCTATATATAACATGGTGTAAGATATTTTTGCAGTTTGTATATAAAAAATTAATTATGAGCTTCATACATGAATATAATATAACACAATCATTGATTTTCAAATCACAAATTTAATAAAACCAATTATGAAAAAGTAAATGTCAAATATAAATATAAAACACTAAAATTGAATCTTATAACATTAAATCTAATTCGAATTCTACTTGTATTTTTATCT